TTAGCATTTGATAGTTGTTTCACAATAGAGTTCGTAAACTTCTCGTTGGACCTTTACTTTTGCTCCCACTAAACTTCTTGTTCATCAGAATTTCTATGTTTCTCCATAAGTCAATCCTCTTATTAACTTTATGAGAAAACACGTTCCAATTCTTTCATGCAATGCTTCTTTTAATCCCATGACAGATTCCATGTGCTTGTTTTCAAATCTAGCATTATTTAGATTTTCAAAACCCTTAGACTATTCCATAGTCACTTCCAAGATCCTATTTTGGGAAGGCGGTTTTGGTATCTATTTTGCCATATTCCATATGTTCAATTTTTCTAGATCAATCACGAAAAGACTTAAGCATTCCGATTGGTGAATAGGTTTTTATTAAAATCAACTCCTTGAAATTAATTATATCCTTTTCAACCAATCTAGCTATGTATGCATATACATTTCCACATTTTTTAGTTTTCTCCTTGAAAACTTATTTGCAATTGATGGACCTTTCATCCTTCATGCAAATTAATCAAGTTTCGAACATGATTTTCAAACATGGAGTCTATTTCGGATTTTCATGGCCTTTAACCATTATTCGGAATTTGGATTTTCCGTAGCTATCTTACAAGACATTATTCCTTTTCTTGTAAGTCTTAGGTTTATTTCTAACTTAATAGAAAATTTATAGGATTCAATCCAAGCATTTGGTGAATTCTATACCTATACGGGGTAATTGCATCAAACACTAAGTTTTAAGGCAACAATATTCTCAACATATGTCGTTACTAAGAGGACAGTTACGGCAGACGTTTGGCGGATACCAAAGCATACTAGTACTCAAATAAGAGACCTCCCACTACTCATGGTCAAGGAAAAGAGTTCCGATAGTAATAATGAGAAAAATACTTATGACGATTTTAAATCTCTTAAAGTATTCTCATAGGTCGATCCATTATGGTTCTAAACCAATACCTGTGCAAATGATTTATATCTTCATAGCACAAGAAACGGTGCTATAAATCATACTACACACTAATCTCTAATGGTCATTAATCGTCCACAAAAAATATGACCTTGATTAGGGATAATTTTCGATTAAAATATTCAATGTTCACTTAATAGTTGTGCTGCGCTACACACGCACAGAGCTATGTGCTGCTGCTGTTGTGGCTAGGTGCACTAGCCACGCACATGGCTGCACGCACCATCGAGCAGCCCCTTCGGCAGCCACATGCGAGCTGCTATGCAGCCCCGCTAACCAAGGGGGGGTTTGCCTCGTTTTGCGTGCCATAGCCTTGGGATTTCGATCCCAATTTCGCGTGACATATTATTAATTCTAATTTAATTTTAGAACTAATTCAATGATCAAAAAATTGAAAATTTAAACAAGTCTAACTTAAATAAAATTTATCAAGGTGTATTCAACCAAAATAATTCCCAAGAACCATTCTTTAATTAAATTGGTTTAACTTGGTGCAATAAAATAAATAAGGCAATTTCTCATTATTAATTTAATCAATTTAAATTAATCTTGAGATTTGACAAAGTAAGAGGGAGTTGGAAAAATATGAACTTTAATGTTCAAATGAAAAAATCCAACTAGTAACACTTGTGAATACTTGAAGAATTATATATTCCAATATGAAGATAAACAAGTTTCTATCACAAAGTTTGAAACTTTATGTTTCCAATCAACCAAATATGATTAAAACAACAAAGTTCAACATAAAATTCATGGAATTTAGTAGCTTTTAAAGTTTCAATCACTTAACACAATTAAAGATTGAATGTTTAGCACTTTAGAAGCCTCAAAAACAAAAATTTCACACTTAATGCAATGAATTTGCAATTTTGTGAAAAATAAACCAAGCTTTGAAACACAAATTACCACCAAGTAATCATGCCTAAAGAGGTTTAAAATTACATATAAAATATGTATTGAACCAATTTCATAACCACCATAAATATTCAATTAATTTTCAAGGTTAGAAAGACTTAAATTTTTTTTGTAAAAACGAAAAACCCCTCGAAAAATGCATTTATGGTCGTTTTTTGGCTAAAAACCGATTCCTGGAAGGAAAAACTATTTCCAGAACACCTTTTCCACCCAAAGTTTACTATTTTTGGGTCGAAATCTGGGTTCGGGAGCTCAAGTCAGCTCTAATACGAGGTTAAAATGGATAATACGAGCTACTAATCTAATTAGCTACTTAAAACCAAAAAATTAAGTCATAAAAATACCTTGAAAAATATGATAAAATTCAACGAGCGGGGCTCCGATACCGCTGTTAGGGTTTGGTAAGTCCCACTCACCGCGTAAAAAACCCCATCCAAGGATCACGCTCACAATAAATAATATCACTGTAGACACCTAAAAATGTCTCCCCAAAACCAAACCCGATGATGAACAACCTTTCACCGCCATTATTGGTCAGGTTGAGTATTTAATCATGGAGTGCGTAAATCCATATTTATATTTCATAAACCAACCCAAATTCTAGCCCATTTCCCCAAACCATAAATTATTTTCCTCTTTTCGTGCCTTTAAACCCAAAATAATTCATTTCGTGTCGTTTAAAATCATTCATTTCGTGTCCTTTTTATAAAAACGTTTATCTCAGTTTATTTTGATCAATAATCTTGGTCCAATGATTGAATAATTGGATGGGGCTTGAAAAGAGATTTCCAACGATATATTATAAGCCCAAATCCGAGTTTTAACAAATAAGTTATGGCCAAAATATTAGACTAAGCCCAAACCGAACCTAAGCTCACCTTACCTACGACCCAATGATCATGTGGAGGGTCCAAATTATTTATTCCCATTCCAAAACCAATTAGGATTAATTAGAAACTTCTATAAATTTCTAAAAGATCTTAATTATCCTTTTTGAAAAGATAAGATTTAAGAGTTTGAAATTGAATAAAATTTTTCTTTTTGAAAATCCTTTTTCTATCCGAATTGAAAGACGTTCAAAGATAGTCAAATATGATATTCGTGCCACATATTTTTTTTGTCAAAATTTTATATGGTTGGATAGTCCTTGAAATTATATTTCCAATGATATATTATAATATCAATTCCGAGCTATAACGGAAAAGATATGAATAAAATGTCAAACTCTATCCAAAACTGATATCGCCTCACTATTTCGGCCATATCTTTTATTCTATATAATATTTTAATCTAATTCTAATTGTGTTAGAAAGTAGACGTCAATAGATTTCCAACTATATCTTATTTATCTTATTCCAGTTTTTGGATCAAAAGATATGATAAAAACAAAAACCGTAAAAACTGCTATCTATCGCAAGAGTTTTATCCGATTCGAATTCTTATCTTTTTTTTATTCTTCGAGCCTCTTTTTTCTCTATAAATAGAGGTCATATCTCCCCTTTTTTCAATCATAAACAAGGCTGATCACAAAATAATTCTTTTCTCCCTCTTTAGCCTAAACACTAGCCACCCTATTCTCTCATAATACTTCCCCTAAGCACTCCAAGGAGTCCATACAATACCCGAAGTTCTATACTTAAACCAAGGCGTGAAAGTTATAATTAACTGAGGTTTTGGATCAAATCAACTCTAAATTTATTTAATTTAATTATTTCAATTCGATTTATATTTTTATTGAAGTTACTAACAGTTTATTCATGATGTAGCAATTCAAGGAAACGCGGAAAGTGAGTAATTAATCACTTAATTACTCTTATTTTTATTCTTGTTGCTAGTATCATTATTGGGTTATTTATATTTGACTTTACTAATAATATTATGGTTAAATTGCTTCAAATATTAATGTATAATCTATTATATTTATTTATGATCACCATATTGCATGTTTAAAGGGAATATGTAATTGAAAATCACGCCTAATAAAATAATTTGGACGACCGGTTTAGGTTCCTTTTTAATCTTGCTATTTTATTCAAGTGATCAAAAATTTTATAGAATTATGTGTTGCATTAATATTCAACTAATTTAGCATAATAATAGTTTGGAGCAAATTGATTTTTTTTGCATGCCTTTGAGATCGTAAGAATCACTTTTCGCTATAAGAATCGAGTAGAGGCCAATACGGGCGAATGTGACTCCATGACTCACTTCGTACCATCATCCCCGATCCTCCTTTCATGGTTCCAAACCATATGGAGTTAGTAATCTCATGGATTATGAATGGGGTGTAACCTTCACGGGTCAATCGTTGTTGCCTATTGTTGTCCCTTATCGTGGTTGCCTTTCTATGATCCGTGAACGGTTTACAAGTTCCTTAAAAACTTGTTGGCGGCTCCCTACTTTCTTTGTCCTTAATCGTATATGTCAATTCCCACTTCCTATGAGTGCCAAGCATATTCACCACATGCTTTAACGTAGGCGCACTTCGAACGACGCCTACAATTTGGAGACTCCACTGGGGAGGATTCTTGGTTATTTATCGATTTGAGTGATCGGTATTTAATTAAGATGAGTGGATGAGACTTGAACGATTCTTGAATTGTATTCCTGCGATTTAATTGGCATTGTCACATATGCATATGCCTTTTAGGTTACCTTTTTTGCCACTATAGTACGTGTTCTACGCATGTGGCTAGCCCGGGGGATTTAAGCTCTATCAACCCAAAAATGCTCATGGCAATAAGGGTTCATCCGAGTTTTTAAATCCACCCAATCCATGGAGTCGAGTTCGATTTCATCACGAACTCGCGGAGCCGCCCGTTGGCATACACCCTCAAGGGAGGCTACCTTGCTAACGCGTCTAAACTCTTAACCATGGTACCCTTTGACACCCGAATAAGCTTGACCAAACTAGTAGAAAATATAAAAAAGGCACCCCCTAATTGGCACTGGTTCAGTATAAACCGGTGCTAAAACTGGGCTACAAAATTGGTGGGAAGCTAAACCAGAATAAAAGGCACCGGTTCACTTCAAACCGGTGGCAAAAACATAAAGGCCACCGGTTTGAACCGGTGCCTTTGTGAACCGGCCTTTTAATTATTAAAAAAAAAAAAAAACGGCTGATGCTTTTTTATTTCTTCTTAACCCTAAACCTAATTCATTCCTCTTTCTTTGTCCTGTCCTCTCCTCCTCTTTCTCTTTCTCTCTCCTCTCCTCTCCTCCTCCTTCCTTCTCCTTCTCAACTGACCATCTTACTCGAGTAATTAGTTTTTCACCGCCACAGCAACCACCGTCACAACCACAACCTCCGCCCAGCACAGCCCACAGAAATGTCGATCAAAGGGCCCAAATTGACGGTAGAATCGAGTCAGCCGCCGCTGTTCTCCTCCACTCCCTCGCTTTCTCCCACGCGCCGCCCAGCGTCCTCGATCTCCTCCTTCTCTTTCTCTTTCTTTCTCGATCTCCTTCTCCCTCACCTCCTTCTCCCTCGTGTCCTCCTTTCTTTCTATTGAAGACCACCACTTGCACCACCACCAAGACCACCACATGCAACACCAATTCGAGGTTATTCGGTTTTTTTTTCTAGGTTTTTGTTTTAATCGGTTTTTTAATCGATTTTTTTATGTTAATCATTAGAATTCGCTTTTTTTAATCCAAGGTTTTATTTTCTGGGTCCTTTTTGTTTTTTATTTCTTTTTTTTTGTCTTAATTGATTTTTTGATCGATTTTTTATAATTGTTTTTTTTTTAAATTTTAAGGGTTTTTTTTTTATTTTAATCAATTTTTTTTTTATTTTAGCGATTTTATTTCGTTTTTGATTTTTATTTTCTGAGTTTTTTTTATTGATTATTATTTTTTATTTTCTGGGTTTTAATCGGTTTTTGATTTTTATTTTAATTGGTTTTTGTTTATTTTTTCTGGGTTTATTCGATTTTTTTTCTGGGTTTAATCGATTTCAATTTTTTTCGTTTTCTGGGTTAATTCGAATACTGGGTTTTCAAGTTTTTTTTCAATTTCAATTTTTTTCTGGGTTTGAATTTTTGGGATTAAATTTCTGGGTTTGAATTTTTGGGATTAAATTTCTGGGTTTTTTTTTTTTTGAAGCTTGATTATATTAATCGATTTTTTTTTGTTCTAATTGGTGCAGGTATGTTATTTAGATCGAAATCGAAGAAACAAGATACAAGAATATTGATTTAGATGTGAATGAGTTTTTTTTTATTATTATTTATATTGTAATTTTTTTTAATTTATATTGTAATTTTTTTTTCGTACTTATATGTTGTAATCGATCTATTTTATTGATGTATATTGTAATTTTTTTTATTATTATATATTGTAAATTTTCGATGATATTGATTGTTATTGGATTTATGTTTTGATGTGGTTATTTAATTTAGTCTATTTAATTTTTAAGTGGAATATATATATATATATATATATATATATATATATATATATATATAGGGCACTTTTGGCACCGGAAGCAATTATTTTTTATTTTGCCATTTTTGGCACCGGTTAACCGGTGCCAATTCTGAGTTTTGGCACCGGTTTGAACCGGTGCCTTTTTAAACCACTTATTGGCACCCCCCACATTGGCACCAGTTCAAACTGGTGCCTTAGGCCGGGTTTGAACCAGTGCCAATTTCATTTTTTCACGTAGTATAGTCGAACATAGAACTTGACTTTAGGTTGCGAACTTCATTGCATCATGCTTGACAATGTGCTTACATGTGCAATTTTTTTATTGACTTTTTTTAATTTATTTTTTTTTCTCTTATCAAACCCTTTTTATTTTTTTTAGAGTCGAGTCATAGATTTTTTTTTAAATTTGAGTCAACCCGGATTTTTATTCTTGTATCCTGCACAATAGTCAACTTATTTTGGTCATAGCCGGAGTTCTAGAAAGAGTTACGTGTTGTGCGATCTATGGATCTGTAGCCCCGAGTTTTATCTTTCATTTTGAGTTGGTTTTGTCCCAATTAGAGTCACAGATCAAAATTTATAACTGATATACTACAACCTGTCCAGTTTAGGTGTCTTTTTAGCGTCAACTTTTTTTTTTTAATTTTTTTTTTCGTGTCAAGCTAGTCTTAGCCAAGTCCTTTAATCCATGTCAACTCGTATAGCATAGGATTATAAATTTTTATTTTTATTTTATTTTTTTTATACCCATGAGTCTTAACTCTTCTAGAATTCTAGTCCTCTTCCTAGTTTCTTGTGATCGATTTTGTGCAACATTAACATGTGTTCTTTGTCTTTGATTGTGGTTGATCTTATTTATGACTAACGATTTCCAATGGACCGTTTTCACCTAATAAATAGCATAAACGTTAAAATTGGACAAAATTAATCAAGTTAATTTGTCTTTTATTCTTCCATGCTATTTGGTCATTGGGTCCTTTGTTTTTCACAACGTCCTCATATCTAGCCATGCGATCATACCATGAGTCTTAATAAACTCACCTAATCACACATGTTGAGTCATTGCACACACTTTATCTTCGAGTAATGCACTATATTGTTTATGATCGTTTACTAGGACCATGCATGCATCATTTTCCGTCGTAATAGGAATGAGTGGAGTATTTCCCATCAGTTTTCAAAATCGTTTCATACACTCTTCCTTTTCAATCCTAGTATTGAGTGAATGCATTAAGTGAGTTCTTCCTTACACTGTACTTGAGTCTAAAATAACTAGGCAATAGTTGGAAGAATAAGGGGAACGTCACTCCTTCCTTCTTTCCTTCCAATCAAAGCATCAACAACAAGAAACTATTTTCCTAGGCAGCTAGAAGTAACTCATAAACAGCCATGAAGACAAAGCACGATGCAAGCTTCTCACCAACATTTCATGTTTTCTTCTTCTTTTGTTTCAAACCCTTCCCCTAAAAAGTCTAGCATAGGTTCTCCTTATCCATGTGTCTATGTGTCACATTTCTTACCTTCTTCATAAACGAGCATCTCTTTCTTACATTCGATCGTCTGATTAGCAAAAAAAAAAACAAAAAAAAAAAATAATTGTTGTACCGAACACAAGGTATACCAATGATTTGAGGCACCTTTGTAACCCTGTCATTCCCTATTAACCATTTAATCACATATCCATTTCTTCGTCAACCACTTTGAGCCTCGTCTAACGATTGACCTTATTTATTCAACCCACATTCACTTAACTCTGGGATGGGAAGGTGTGCAATTTGTGTAACAATCAGAAAGCAAGTTCAAATTAAAAATAAAAAGGGAAAAGAATAAGTAAATAATAAAAAAAACAATGTCTAAAGGCAAGTGTTCCAATGTCTCCGATATGAACATGTCTCAAATTGCGTCTCTCATCGAGTGCTTGGTACCGTGCCTGAGAAACATGAATGCTAAGTGAGTGATGGACCGCATGATCTGAGATTGCCTACATTGATTCACAAGAATGGAAAAAAGAAAAAAAAAGAAATTCAAAACAAAAAAAAATATATGAAAAATAAAACATGCAAAGTCTAATACATAATTGCATATCTTGGGGGCTTCTCTCGGGTCTTGAGCCTTTTACCCTTTTCTTCCTTAAACCTTCAGCTTTACCACATTACAACCCTTGAAAGACCTCTTTGATCTGTACACACACTTGTGCAAACTTCGGCTAGAGCTACGTTGGCCTGATTCCTAACGGATATGTAGGTAACCTCACATCGAGGTGCGGCCACATTCACATTCATATTCACATTTATATTCATACCCATGCTTGATTGAGTCAAAGAATATCCAATGCTTACCCCTACCCATTTAGAGCTAGACATGGGGGCTTGAACCCACATCATTTAGCCTACCCAGCCTGAAGAGTCATCATCTTTGACTCTTCTTACATCTATTTCCATCACCATAACCCTTGCAGCCAGCCTTAGTATCACATTCACACACTTCACTTACACATCCATATCCATATAAATCATCCTTCCCTTTAAGAACCCTTTATTATGGAATTTTCAACACTGTGCATGTTTCATCGTCTTTCGGGACAACATTCATTACAAGAAACATTGTATACTTGCTTAGATTCCTGACCTGAGAAATATTCATTGTTTCACGCATCGCATAATGTGCTGAGCAACATTTATGTATCAATGATTTTTAATCATACAAAGAATAACGTACTTAGCTCCTTAACCTAAGCAATATTCATTTTGCAATACTCAATAATCACTTCATCTGTATACGTGCTTAGCTTCCAGACCAAAGTGACGTCAAGATCGTTTCTTTACACCATATATGATGCTTAGCTCCATGACCTAAGTTCATTCATCGTGTCACATGATGTAATTGTCCTTAGCCTCCTGGCCTAAGGACATGCATCATGCATACATTACTTTCAAGAAAAGCAATTCAATCCATGCGATTCATTTTGTCTTACTCAACGTGGAAGTTCAAAACTTCTTTTCTTTATTCGCGTCTTTTCTTTTGGGGAAGTTTAAAAAACTTTTTCAAAATTTTCTCATCGAGGAAAGTTCGAAAATAAAAGTTCAGTTTTCACATCTTTCTTTTTCGGGAAAAAGTCAGTACCCTCCACTCATGACAAAAATTGACGGAAATTTTTTGCTTTTGCATCTTCGTTTGCTTGTGTTTGTACACACACATATACACACACACACTCACAATTCATACACATGTCATGTCACATCAAGTCAAACTTGGTCAAGTCAGTGGTCAAGTCAATCACAATATATACGAGTCCATTGGCAAATTTATTTTTGCAGGTCTCATCTACAACCCACGTTCGGGGACAAGCGGACCATCCACAACCCACGTCCGGGGACAAGCGGACCATCTACAGCCCACGTCCAGGGACAAGCGGACCATCTACAACCCACATCCAGGGACAAGCGGACCATCTACAACCCACGTTCTAGGATAAGCGAACCATTTACAGCCCACGTTCGAGGACAAGCGAACCAACTACAACCCACGTCCGGGGACAAGTGGACCATCCACAGCCCACGTCCAGGGACAAGCGGACCATCCACAGCCCACGTCCTGGGACAAGCGGACCATCTACAACCCACGTCCGGGGACAAGCGGACCATCTACAGCCCACGTCCAGGGACAAGCGGACCATCTACAACCCACGTTCTAGGATAAGTGAACCATTTACAGCCCACGTTCGGGGATAAGCGAACCAACTACAGCCCACGTCCGGGGACAAGCGGACCATCTACAGCCTACATTCGGGGACAATCAAACCACCATCATTTCATGACGCAAGGTTCTCGATACACAAAGACTTGCAATCTCATCATTTGTTGACTATTCTCAAGCATGGAAAGTATTATCCGGTGGATTTCTTCAAGCATAGAAAACTGCCAAATTCCTTTGTCGGCTTTCCTCAAGCATGGAAAGCATTTCAACAAACGTCATCCGGTGGATTGCTTCAAGCATAGGAAAATACCAAACTCATTTTTCACCGATACACTGGTGTCAGATAAGCGTTCTATCCATTTACTCTTTTATCTGTGGAATTAACATTTTTTACAAGTATCGGCGTATACAGAGTGATTTAGGATCGCAGAACGTCTTAAATTATTCTCCGTCCCTATCGACTACTATGACTATCGTTTTCAAAAATGGTGTTTCTACAAACTCAGTCAAAGTGGGGGCTTCTAGCGACACCTAAAAATATCTCCCCAAAACCAAACCCGATGATGAACAAACTTTCACCGCCATTATTGGTCGGGTTGAGTATTTAATCTTGGAGTGCTAAAATCCATATTTCCATTAAATAACCAACCCAAATTCTATCCTATTTCACCAAACCATAACTTATTTTCCTCTTTTCGTGCCTTTAAACCCAAAATAATTCATTTCGTGTCCTTTAAAATCATTCATTTCGTGTCCTTTTTATAAAAAACGTTTATCTCAGTTTATTTTCGTCCATAATATGGGTCCAAAGATTGAATAGTTGGATGGGGCTTGAAAAGATCTTTCCAACGATATATTAGAAGCCCAAATCCGAGTTATAAAGAATAAGTTATGGCCAAAATATTAAACTAAGCCAAAACCGAACCTAAACCTACCTTACCTACGATCCAATGATCATGTGGAGGGTCCAAATTATTTAATCCCATTTCTAAAACAATCAGGATTAATTACAAACTTCTATAATTTTCTAAAAGATCTTAATCATCCTTTATGAAAAGATAAGATTAAAGAGTTTGAAATTGAATAAAACTTTTCTTTTTGAAAATCCTATTTCTATCCGAATTCAATGACGTTTAAAGATAGTCAAATATGATTTTCGTGCCTCATATTTTTTATCCAAATTTTATATTTTTGGATAGCCCTTGAAATTATCCTTCCAATGATATATTATAATATCAATTCCGAGCTATAACGGAAAAGATATGA